TTTATTAGAAATTCATCAAGCTCATTATACAGCATCATAGCAAGGTGGGATTGGGGGTGGTTACATGATCGGGTTGCATACACTCATATTATAGTAGTTATGTAGACCCTTCCCAGGCTGGTACGAGAATAATCATGTAGGTATTTCTTGGCCTGAGCAGTTGGGACTTTCCAGATGATGTCAACATCCTATTTCCCTGCTGTGGCAAGGCCTATGGATAATTCTAATATGCAAGTATATTTCTATACAACTATTCCCACATACGTCTACTTCCTGAGATCCCTAGTTGACATTCTATTTTAGAGACCTAATGATGTCCCAGTGGGTGGGCAGAGCCTCCCACCGCCAGTGCTACCGGTTTGCGCGATCCGGATAGATCCGGCTGGATTTCACCGCTGCTGCTGGCTCATATTTAATTGGCTGTCCACTAAAACTCCAAGATCCCTCTCACAGTTACTGCCATTAAGCCTGGTTTCACCCAGTCTATATGTGCACTTTTGGTTTTTCTTGCCTAAGTGTAAGACTTTACTTTTCTCTGCATTACAGAGTAAAAGAATCAAGACAAGGGTCACAATCACACAGTGAAAAATATGCTTCTTTTTATATACACCGCACCGCAGAGAACAAACAGGTGGAGCTTTGTCTTCGAGTTTTGACCATAATGTTGCCTACAGGTAGTCCTCGACATACGACCACAATTAAGACCAAAATTTATGTTGTTAAGTGAGACATTTGTTAAGTGAGACATTTGTTAAGTGAATTTTGCCCTATTTTTGACCTTTCTTGCCACAGTTGTTAAGTGAATCACTGCAAATGTTAATTTAGCAACGGGATTGTTAAATGAATCTGGCTCCTCCATTGACTGTGCTTGTCAGAAGGTCAAATAAGATGATCACATGACCCCTGGGAGTCAGGACACTGCAACCGTCATAAATATGAGTCAGTTGCCAAGTGTTTGAATTTTGATTGTGTGACCACGGGCAGGGGTGAAATCCAGCAGGTTCTGACAGGTTCTGGAGAACCGGTAGCAGAAATTTTGAGTAGTTCGGAGAACCGGCAAATGCCACCTCTGGCTGTCCCCGGAATGGGGTGGGAATGGAGATTTTGCATTATTCTTTCCCCAGGAGTGGGAGGGAATGGGGATTTTGCAGTATCCTTCCCCTGCCATGCCCACCAAGCCACGCCCACAGAAGCAGTAGTAAAAAAATTTGGATTTCACCACTGACCACGGGGATGCTGCAGCGGTCGTGTGAGAAATGGTCCTAAGTCACTTTTGTCAGTGTCATTGTAACTTTGGACAGTTACTACATGAACTGTTGTAAGTTCTACCTGTTCTTTGTGATAATCATAAATTGTGCCACCCGTGCACCATTTTCGTGGTGGTTGTTATGCGAATGTGGAGGTCATTAAATGAAACATGGCTGTGGAATGCTGCACCATTAATAAAGCTGCCCAGTCTCTTCTTTAAAACCTCCAGTGATAGAACCCCCATAACTTCAGGCAAGGTGTTCCACTGGTTAATTGTTCTGTTAGTTTCTCCTTAATTCCAGGTTGCTTCTCTCCCTGATTACTTTCCGTGCATTGTTTCTTGCCTGCCCTCTAGTGCTTTGGAAAATAAGTTGATCCCCCTTTTCTTTGTGGCAGCCCCTCAAATACTGGAATACTGCTATCATGTCACCCTTAGTCCTTCTTTCCTCTAAACCTTTAATCACCTTTAATCATCCTAGTTGCTCTTCTCTGCTCTTTTTCCAAAGTCTCACCATGTTTTTTGTAATATGGTGACCAAAACCAGATGCAGTATTCCAGGAGTGGTCTTACTAAGGTTTTAAAGTAGTAATACTTCATGTGATTTTGATTCTATGCCTCTGTTTAGGAGATATTTAAAATTTAAAATAGTATACGTTTAAAATTTCCAGGTGTTTCCCATGGCTTTCATGAAAATTGAAGAATGTCTAAAAAATACAAAGTTTGTGGACAGAAGATGAAGAACACAGTTTAAATATTTTTTTTTCTTTCCTTGCGTCCCTAACAATGTTTATAACTATGTAATAGACAGCAATATAAAAGGAGCATATTATGCCCACACCTTCCCCAAATCACGAAAAGTACTACTGCTTCCCTAAAATGCATTTAATCTCCAAAAGTACACCCTTGAAATATTTGAATGTTTCGAATCAAGGCTTAGAAATGAGATGGTATTTGAGCTTGACTTCTGGTTGCTAAAGAAATTTATCCAAACTCTTCAAAAATTTTATCTAGAAGCCTTTCCTTCCTGCAAATTGAAAGTAGACATAAACTGTTTCTCTTAATCTAGTTTGTCATGTTGAGAGATTTTGGAATGAATGAAAGAATTTAAAGAATTCAGAATGGGATGCAAAGATTTCACCAGCAAAGTCAGTGACTTCATCAGGGATTCAGTGGCAGAGAGAAGGTCAGAAAATGCCCTGCTTGTAGACCCTAATTCACACATAACTACCCAAAACCACCTCCCCATTCTTATCCACCAGTCCGCCACATTGATATTATACACTGGCTTGTCTAGATTACTGTCGTATAAAACTGTGGCCAAGTTCTTTCCTTCACCAGACAGGAAACTCAGAATAATGTCATCACAAATGATCTTCAGGATCATGCTCTTCTGGAGACATTGGAGCTCCTCCGTGAATTTGGTCTTGGCAAGAGAAAAACAAGCAAGGATTTCTTTGCTCTGAATTCCAAGAAACCTTAGATCATTCTGCACATGCTGGAGACTTTCTGCAGAGAGGGTCTCCTCTATTAGGCCTTCTCCATACTGTAGGTAAATCCCCTGTACTGGCAAACGTTTTGAGAATTGGGTTTGCCCATTAGCATTCAAAACAGCAACTTGGCAGTTCTCCGTCCAATAAGTCAGCGACAAGATTTTCCCATCACACTGATCTTGAGCCTCCTCACCATTCTGTAAAGAGCTCGGTGTTTGAAGCATTTTTTTCAGCAATCTAAAAAAGCAACGTTTCTGCTCCCCGGTTAATGAATTCTTTGAGCTGGCTTGCAATTTTTTGAAACAAGACATACCCTTTTTTTTTTTTAACCACAAACCGCCAAAGAGGGAGGTAAGATTTCAATGTACTTTTTTTAGAGGTTGAATTCCTGGAAGTCAAAATCTGGGGGAGAGAAATTGAATGGATGGAAGCTATTGCAGATTATCTAGCCCAGTGGTGGAAGATTGTGGGAAGTTTTGCTGTCGTTTACTCATCAGTGTCTGCAGAAGGGGGAAAAAAATGACAAAACAAGTTCATAATTCAAACCGTGTGTTTTAAGAATTCTTGGGTCAGAATCAGACACCAGGATAAAAGTAAGAAAGGCACAACATTTTGTGGTACATGTAGTCATTATTGTCTAATTGTGGTTTATAGCAAATGAGAAATGAGATGAGAAGCTGTGTTTATTGTGAGTAAACCACATTTGGTTTTAAAGGATTAGACTACATCTACCTATAAAAACAAAGAAGGGCCATGCTCTCTTGGAGACTTTAGTTTGTATTGGGAAACTGCCATCCAGGCTGGAAGGATAGGTCAGACAGGGACCTAGCTTGGAGTCCTTGCACGGCTGCAACAGGCACAAGCCTGACCTTCCCCAAGATCCATGAAACATTATCTGATTATTCCCAGAAGGCAAGCAGTGGGGGGAGATTCTCATAACACAGATGGAAAACGATAAAGTGGCTAATCATGGGTGGCTCTGGTTCCTTGTGCCTGGCAGTTTGGGGTTTGATTCTCCCTTCTGTGATCTGTAAACTCTGTTGTGAATATTTAATGACTATATAGGACTTACTTAATGACTGTATCTTTTTGCCTTTTTGCCTGTCCATGGGATTTTCTATATGGCAATAGACAGCATATTAAAAAGCAAAGACATCACCCTGCCAACGAAAGTGCATATAGTCAAGGCTATGGTTTTCCCAGTTGCAATATATGGTTGTGAAAGTTGGACCATAAGGAAGGCTGAGAGCCAAAGAATTGAGGCCTTTCAACTATGGTGCTGGAGAAGACTCCTGCGAGTCCCTTGGACTGCAAGGCAATCAAACCGGTCAGTCCTAGAGGAGATCAACCCTGACTGCTCTTTAGAAGGCCAGATCCTGAAGATGAAACTCAAATACTTTGGCCATCTAATGAGAAGGAAGGACTCACTGGAGAAGAGCCTAATGCTGGGAAAGATTGAGGGCAAAAGAAGAACGGGACGACAGAGAACAAGGTGGCTGGATGGAGTCACTGAAGCAGTAGGCGTGAACTTAAATGGACTCCGGGGGATGGTAGAGGACAGAAAGGCCTGGAGGAATGTTGTCCATGGTGGTTATGGGTCAGACATGACTTAGTAATTAACAACGACGACTATATAAATTGAAAAACTATTAAAATGGTCTTCCTTTTTGAAGCTGCTTCATGAAGCAACAGAGCCCTTGGTTTCTTAAAAATCCTTGTTTTTATATATTAAGTTTTGGAGGCTGGCTTATGTTAAAATTGAGCTGGTGGAGGAGTACTCAATTCTAAAATAAATAAAAATAAATTATATCTGTATTACAGATGGCTGTTTCATTAAAATCAAAAGGATTGTTTTTCTTTTCCCACTGACACACCATATTGTCAATAAATATCAATGCGTTCCTTGAGAGAATTTTGCGCTATTTGGAAATTGCTTCTGGATTTTGTGCTTGCAATGGAAAAAAAAAGAAACTTTGTTTTTGTTTTTGCTAATTAGATAGGTTTATTGTTATAGAAATGGCTACTATATAGGGTTGTGTAAAAGTAAAACATTGAAGTTGTAATGTTATCTTCTTACACCATTTTTTTCCTTTTCTCTCCCCCTCCTCCTAGTTTTCTATTATCTCAATAAAACCATCAAAATAATAGGTTTTGGAAATACATATTACATGTTCTTGGTGTTGTTTCCTTCTCAAAATAATCTCAATAACAATTATGAAATGACACTACAATCTCTAATAGGGAACAAGCAAAATCAATGGTGGATGTTGCCATTATTTTAATCAACATTTCAATTAAACAATCAGTATACATAAAATCCATTAAAAATGTCTTAGGCAAAAAAAATTAAAACATGTAATATACATAACTCACAATCTAAGATATAGGTGACTAAGATATACGTAATAATTTTACCATAATTATTTTCACTACTGTCAATAGCATTACAATTTTTGATATTTTTATTGAAAAAAGCAGTAGTCACGCTTTTTTCAATAAAAATATCAAAAATTGTAATGCTATTGACAGTAGTGAAAATAATTATGGTAAACCCTTAAAAATGCAAAAGCAACATTTTGCAAATGACATTATATTGTGGTACAAGAATCTTAAATTGGTAAAAGTATGAAGCCTCTTTCTTTTTATAAAACGAAGCTGGTATGCAAATTATCATTTCACAATGTAATAGAGCGTTTCTTAAATCTTTGCGTATGTGATACTATATATTTAAAATCAAAGAAATGCACACAAAGTATTACAGGGTCCCAGACTTACATCTGGAAGATAGGAAGTTGTTCAGAACAGGACAGATAGGGTGTCGAAGTCTGGATGCTCCCAAAATACCTTTAATGGAATCTAGTCCTACTTTTCTTGTTGAAGATCCAAACCATACTTTCCCACTATTTTGAGGCAGGAAATAAAGAAAAGCTGCAATATTATCCCTGAAATAGTTCTAACAAGTTTGAAAACAATAAAAAGTAAATTCCCAGCTATGCCACTATATGTAAGATGGCATACACTTGTGCCATACTTCCCTTCCCCTCATATTACCGTATTTTTCAGAGTATAAGACGCACCTTAGTTTTTGGGAAGGAAAATAAGAAAAAAGCTGTCTGGCAGGTGGATCTGCCTCCCAGAATACCCCCAATCAGCAGTCCCCAGAGGTGAATTTTAGCAACAGGTTCCTTGGTTGTGAGCTCTGTGCCTTGGTTTTTTTTTTTTTTGTTTTTTTTTTTTTTGCTTTTTTTTCCTGCCTCTGAAAGCCTCTGAAAAAGAGCTTCAGAAAAAAAGCCTCTGAAGCTCTGTTTGGAGGCTTTTTTTCTGAAGCTTTTTTTCTGATGCTTTTTTCGGCCTCTGAAACCTCTGTTTGAGAAGCTGGGCGGGGCTACATTCGGAATATAAGACGCACCCAGATTTTCACCGTCTTTTTTGGGAGAAAAAGTTGCATCTTATACTCCAAAAAATACAGTAAGTATGGGCAATAGCCATCAAAAGATTCCTTGCCCACAACTGGACAACAGGAGCTAACAAAATCATTTCTTACTAGCTTTGCAATGGATGTACTATTTAGCATCATTTGCATGGACATTACAGAAAGCTTTACAAACCTGATACAAGCTTTCAAGTATTTCTGTGAGATGCCATGAATTGTGGCCTTTCTCCTAGTTCAGAGATTGCCACTTATTTCTTAGAAACAATGGGTGGAAATTAACTAAGGAGAAAAGCAACCTAGAACTAAGGAAAAATTTCTTAACAGTGAGAACAATTTACCGATAGAACAGCTTTGCTTTCAGAAGTTGTGGATGCTCCATCACTGGAGGCTTTGAAGAAGAGACTGGACAGTCACTTCTCTCAAATTGTATAGGATCTCCTGTTTGAGCAGGGGAGTTGGACTAGATCAGTGGTCACCAACCGGTGGTCCTCGAGAAAATTTTGGTGGTCCGTGGCGCACCCGGGTGGAGGAGCTGCTCCGGGATGAGCAATGGCCAGTCCTGTGACTAGAGCTCTGGAATATGGGAAAGGCCAGGCAGCTCATGGTGGGGCTGTAAATCTCCACTCTAGAGGGAGGTTCGTGCAACTTGCAACTTTGCAGCGCAGCCCTCACTGGCCAGAATGAGGTAATGTTGCAAGGGGGGGTGCAGGCGGGCTGAAGCAATGGGTGGCAGCAACCCCGGGCTGTTTCTTCCCCCTGCTGTAGCTTCCTGTCAGCTGAACCCACCAGTGGCTGTCCCCACGCCTCACCCTCCCTTCCCAGTCACTCCTCGCCTGGCCTGAGAAGGGAAGGGCAAGGGATGGAGATTCGCTCCATATTCCAGAGCGGCAGCGAAGCTTCGTCTCTTGCTGAATCTCACGGCCGTTTTTTCCAGCCCTTTTGGTACTCCGCACACCTTGGTCTCTCAGGCAGACTCTTGACTTCCTCTCAGCCCCAAGACACTGGCTGGCCCATGAGATGAGAGAGAGAGAGAGAGAGAAAGAGAGGGGAGGAGAGAGAAAGAGATGAGAGAGAATGATAGAGAATGAGTGGGAGAGACAGAGAGAGAGGGAGAGAGAAAAAGATTGAGAGAGAAAGAGTGGGAGAGAGAGAGAAAGGTGAGAGAGAGAGATGGGGAAGAGAGAGAGAGAAGGAGAGAGGAGGGAGAGTGCCTGAAGGATTCCATCCCATCACTGGGAGTCCAGGCACTTCAGCAAGCGGCACGCTGGATTCGTATTAGTGGTCCACAGGATTTAAAATTATGAACTTGGTGGTCCTGAGGTCCAAATGGTTGGGGACCTCTGGATTAGATGATCTCCAAGGTCCCTTCCAACTCTGTTTTTCTGTAGTTCTGTAGTCCTTGACTCATCTCTAATCGTTGAAAGTCAAGCCATTAACATAGCTACTTCTGTTTTGAAGAAACAGCAGCTGTGGTGCCTACAGAGTTCAATTCCTCCTACTTAATTCTTCAATTTGCTTTAAAAAAAAAAAACCCAAGTATTTAAGAGCAAAGAGGAACATCCTTTTTTCTGGTAGCGGGTACAGATAATATTGAGGAAATTTAAAGGATTTTTCAAAAAATGGATAACACAAAAGAACTGTCCTCTTGTGAATTTGAACTAGAAACTCATAGAAATACTGGTTACAGCTGTTTGTATTTACTGCACCATGATACAAGTTGGTAAAGACGTTGTAAGGAAGATCGAATATTAGAAAAAAATGTACAAGCTCTTCTATAAAATGTGACCAAACGTGCAGGCAGTAACCTGAGGTTTCTGAACAACTTGGTATACCAATGTGCCATTTCTATATTGTACTTTGGTATTTTCTCGATGCCATCGTAAAGAACTACGGCCAAGTTCTTTCCTTTACCAAAGGTCAGAATAACTTCACAGCAAATTATTTGCAGTTTCATATTCTCCTGCACCAATTTTGGCTCTTTCATAAACTTGGTTCTAGCCAGGGAGAAGCAATCACACACTTCCTTGCTTTGAATTCCAAGGAATTTCAATTCATTCTCCACAATTTGGAGATTCTCTAAGCTAAGAGGTTCCCCCTCATCACCACGCCAGTTGAGGTAAATATATTTTGTTTTGATTATTCTCTCCCATATTTCATTTCCCTTTCCATCCAGAATGACTGCTTTGCACTCACTTCCCATATATTTAAGCTTCAGTTTGGTATTGTCACACCAACGTTCTTCCTCGTTGCCTTTTTGTAAGATGCTCTTATCTTCAAGTAAATGTTTCAGAATGTTGAAAAAAACTTCTTTGTTTTTTTTAGATGGAATGCTTGAATCGCAGGAATAGAAGGAATCATCAGATCCTGTTGATCCTAAAGAATCATCTCTGTCTTCTTCTAATTGGTTTAGATTCGAAAGTGAATCTGGGTCTTCTCTTGAAATTAGTGGAATGTGTTCTTTTGAAATGGACTTTTTATCAAAGTGCCATGAATAATTTATATAATCAAGAGATGAATAGCCCATGATCGTGGTGGATTTCTTCAACACCATGCTACACGTGGTACTGCAGCTCTTCTCCCCTTCCCTCAGTCTTTTTTTTGGGGCAAAAAAATCTGCCAATTTTTGAGCAGTTTTTATACAGCCAGTTTCCAAGACCTGGAAGTATAGGTACAAATTATCAATATATGAAATAAAATAGTTTCAGGATTCACATAGGAACATTTCTAACATTAAACATAAAAAAACCCAGCCTGACTGAATATTAGATCTATTTGATGTTTGGGATTTTTTTTTCTTTTTTGTACACAAATTTTTTTCTTTCTCTCTCTCTCTCTCTCTCTCTCTTTCATTATTAGCGTTGGGTGCAGTGGTGGGATTCAAGTAATTTAACAACAGGTTCTCTGCCCTAATGATTTCTTCCAACGATCAGTTTATCAAACTGCTCAGGAAGTTAACAACTGGTTCTCCCGAAGTGGTGCAAACTGGCTGAATCCCAGCACTGGTTGGGTGTCTGTTAATTTGTTTTTTTTTTCCTGTTTGGTATTTTACCATTGGTGATAAAAGAAAAATAAATATATAGAGTTTTCACACAGGGATATTGTATACGTTATTAGCAACATGGTGGCACATAACTTGTTTATTATGTGTTAGGATTCAAAAGTTTTTACTACGGGTTCTGTGGGCGTGGCATGGCTTGGTGGGTGTGGCAGGGGAAGGATACTGTAAAATCTCCATTCCCTCCCCAATCCAGGGGAAGGCTACTGCAAAATCCCCATTTCCTCCCAATCAGCTGGGACTTGGGAGGCAGAGAATAGATGGGGGCGGGGCCAGTCAGAGGCGGTATTTACCGGTTCTCCAAACTACTCAAACTTTCTGCTATCGGTTCTCCAGAACTGGTCAGAACCTGCTGAATACCACCTCTGATTTAAAGGCCTAATTTACACAACTGCTTTTCTACTTGTGTTAAAGCTAAAAGCAACATGAAGGATGGCAATGTCACTCAGATATTTAATAACCTTCTGTCCCATAGAATCATTTATGAATTGGAAGAGGAACATGACTGTTTACTAAGATTCTCTTCTAACATTGTTAAATGGTGATGGATTAGTACTCAGTGGATTAAAATGAACAACAAATGAACAAAGTAATTTTAAGATTTTGCAATCTGAAGTTCAGCCTTTCACCACCAGATGGAAATCCACATGGATCTCTCAGCTTCAAACTATAAGGAAGATGATGCTACTTTTACGTAACCCTGTTCAGAGTATCCAAGAGCAGCAGTATCTTGGGGTTGGGGGGGGGAGTTATTCAAATCCAGTTAATCAAATCAAGATGGTGGCCATAACCACCAAACCCACCTTGTTGGCCTTTTATTATATCTGCCCATTAACTACTCTTGCCCAGATCCTTCTGTGTTCAATCACATTTGGCCAATAAAGTTTTGTATTGTGTTGTGTTGTTGGTGTTGGTGGTATTCTATTCTATTCTATTCTATTCTATTCTATTCTATTCTATTCTATTCTATTCTATTCTATTCTATTCTATTCTATTCTATCCTATCCTATTCATGTATGTCCACTGGGGAGGGACACATGACAAAACATGCTTGAGGAATGGAATGGAATGGAATGGAATGGAATGGAATGGAATGGAATGGAATGGAATGGAATGGAATGGAATAGAATAGAATAGAATAGAATAGAATAGAATAGAATAGAATAGAATAGAATAGAATAGAGCAGAGCTGGAAGGGACCTTAGAGGACTTCTAGTCCAACCCCTTGCTCAAGCAGGAGAACCTATACCATTTCAGACAGGTGACTGTCTAGTCTCTTCTTAAGAAGCTCCAGTGATGGAGCGGCCACGATTTCTGAAGGCAAACTGTTCCATTGGTTAATTTTCATCATGTTTATGCTGCATGTTTTTATCTGTTTGTATCAAATGTCTGGATGTAAACATGTAATGGGGACATTCGCATAGTGACATCACCACACGTGAAATCCATTGGGGGTGATCACTGTTTGCTGCAGATGCTGTGCATCTATGAACATTTCTGCACTAACCATTTATAATCCCATTCAGCTGTCTTTGTGGTACTACTTAACGAAAATATATTAGAAGATCAGAGCAGCAAAAATGCTGAAGATTCCAAAATGAAATTATGATGTCACTGTTATGAGTAGAATTTGTTATGAGTAGAATCAAGAGCCTTGGTGGTGCAGTGGACTAAAGTGCTGTTAAGTAGCACTTAGCTGCCAGCTGCCTGCAATTACTGCAAGTTCAAATCTCACCAGGCTCAAGGTTGACTCAGCCTTTCATCCTTTCGAGGTAGGTAAAATGAGGACCTGGATTGTGGGGGCAATAAGCTAACTTTGTATAAAAAAGAACACCGCATTTGGGGGGGGGCAAAAGCCCTACTAAGCAGGTATATACAAAAGTATGAAGGCTATTGCTTAACTCATTACAAGCCACCCTGAGTCTCTGGAGAAGGGCGGCAAATAAATAAATAAATAAATAAATAAATAAATAAATAAATAAATAAATAAATAAATAAATAAATAAATAAATAAATAAATGGATGGATGGATGGATGGATGGATGGATGGATGGTACAAGGAGGATAACTGAAAAGGTGTATAACTTTATCCTTTAACGAATTATACCACCTCAGTAACCAGGGGTGAAATCCAGCAGGTTCTGACAGGTTCTGGAGAACTGGTAGCGGAAATTTTGAGCAGTTCAGAGAACTGGTAGTGGGAATTTTGAGTAGTTCGGAGAACTGGTAAATACCACCTTTGGCTGGCCCCAGAAAGGGAAGGGAATGGGGATTTTGCAGTATCCTTCTCCTGCCACCTCCATCAAGCCACACCATGGCCACCAAGCCACGCCCACAGAACCGGTAGTAAAAAAAATTGGATTTCACCACTGCTCAGTAACAGATGGATAGCCCAATAAATTGCTACTGTGGGAATTTTCCAGATTAAGGAGAAAAAATGAAATATTCCAACCATAATAAACACAGGAAGGAACTGTAGCTGCTCAACAAATTCTGACGTCAATAAAAATAGCCTTCTCAATATAGCATCCACAATGCTTCCAAACAGACAACCTTATGCTACAAGTTTAAAAATCAAATGGGTCTATTCCAACTTTCCATCCTAAATAGATTTTATTCTGATGGGAAACATAAACCTGAAAAAGTGAATGGAAAATGCAGGTGTGTTTCAAATTCCGGACCTGCGCACCTTCCGCCGCGAGCTAAAGACGCTTTTATTTCAACAAGCTGGCCTCGCCTAAATCTTCTCCCTTCTCCCTTTTAAGTGTAAATTTGAAATTTTTACTGTATTTTAAAATATGGGTATTTTAAATTATGGGTATTAATTCAGCCAAATTTATTTAATTCATTTTATTCGATTTTAAATTTTGTATATCTATGTGTTTTATTTCATGGCTGTGCACCGCCCTGAGTCCTTCGGGAGTAGGGCGGTATAGAAATTCAATAAAAACTAAACTAAAACTAAAATGGGGGACCACATGATCTAGAATGAACTGTAAAATTATTTGAAATAGAACAATTGGCCAATAAAACTTTTTATCTAAAAACACATTTTCCCTGTTTTGAAAAATATGAATGTAATGTCACAAATACTCCCATTTCCTTATATAGCAAACTAGGGAGAAAAGTACACCATTTTATAGCTGTTTTCACAAAATGGCTGCTGTTTCCTCTTCTGGAAATATCTGAAAAAAGTATTTTTCCCCCTTGAATGCAATCAGGTTTGATTGTTTCCTACCAGTCCGAGGAAACTTTTAATCAACTCTTAGTTCTATTTTATATTTATTTTCCCAACAAAATGAAGCAAAGCAGCCGCTTTTATCTTTATTATCTAAGGTCTATGGAATTGTTGTGAGGGCTCAGATGCATTTGTATACATAAACTTAGGTCAGTGCTTCCCTTTGCATAATAATACTTTTCCTCAAAAAAAACCCCTCAAAACTATTACTCAAAGCCTCTTTAAAACATTGAAATCAGGTTGAGAAGGGAGGCTGATGGGGGAAAATCATGAAAAAGTTCATGTCAAAAGACATCCCACTGCTCAGCTGGGACATCACTGGAGAAAGAAACTATGCCTTCCTTGTGAAATGCATTTGTTCCTTTTTCCACACATGCCAATTTTTATTCTTTTATCAAATGATCAAAACATCCGCAGAGCTTTTTTGTTTGTTTGTTTGTTTGTTTCTTAACGTTGTTCTTTTAAGTTATAGGCTTTCTGTTAGCAAGTCTCACCGGCAATGTTGTCCAATTCCACAGACTCCCCATGAGCCATTTTTAAAGCTGATGATTATAAATCTGCCCTTACCACAACAACCCTCCCAAAAATGCTAGCTCTTAAGATCTGCTAGACATCTTCACGATTCAAGCTAGCTAACAACTTGATTTGCTATGAATGTTTTCTAAGGGTCATGAACAGGGTTATTTTCTTTGCATTTTTTGAGGGACATGTTGGCCCCTTTTCTTTCAAAAATGAAACATGGGGTAGTTCCAAATGAATGTTGTTGTTTTTTTTAATAGGAAATTAACCCAGCTCACTTATACATGCTTACAGTAGCGTTTGAAAAAGTCTCACTCTGAGCAATTCTGGACACGAACACCAAAATACATTATCTATTGCTTCTCTTTTCCCGAACATAATTATGGAAATAGGCACTTAAAAATAAATAAATAAAATAAACAAAGCAGACAAATGATCGATGAGTGCAAGCCATGGTATAGCTCACAGAACAGGAACTGACTTTTTAAAATAAATCTTATTGAAAGTTTTAAAGAGAACTGGTATTTTGAAAGCTGAGAAACATCAGACAAATATTTAAATATCAGAGAAATTTGCATTTCAAAAGACTTAAATGCAATGTGAGATGCTTTTTTAAAAAATATTGGGGAGATTTAACAGTTAACTGATGAAAGAAACATGCAAAGCTTTGTATGTCATTTAGCATTGCAAATTATTTTTAAGCTTTTATAATATATAGTACAGAACTGACAAAAGCAAAATGTACAAGCGTAAGACCCAAAATGCATTTAACCCGTAAAGGCTGTTCTTAGGGTGCAAATCTTTTCTTTTATTCTCCTATTTTCCAAAACCTCTCCCCCTGCATTTCTCCCCCACAACACACAAACCTGATCAGTTGGAATAGATGCACAATGGTTTTGCACTAACACATCAACATTGTCTATTAATCCAGAAGTGCAGCTTTTACCTAAAAAAATCAGAATTATTAGTCATCTGACTGCTCCTTTTGTGGCGATGGAGAGGGAGATCATTCAATAAGAGGCTTTCCCTCAACATATTTCAACAGTTCTCATTGGCAGAGCTCCTTTCCAATTTCATTTAGAGACTGGGTTGTCATATTATACTTTAATATGGAGGATTAGGAAGGATTTAGGAAGGTCTTCTCTGCTCCCTGGTCCAAACCAACATCAGTTTACCCACTTACCTGATAAGAGAGACTGTTGATTTGATATTTCGAGAATAAGAATAACTTGCGGTTCTTCTTTCCAGAAAGAGTAGTGTCATATGAAGAGTTTCTGTTTCTAAACTAGTCATTAGGAGGAGCTACATCATGTCCTGCTGATTTCCTATAACCCCAGAGACTGAGGCATAGAAGCAACATTAGCACAGCATTTCTGAAAAATATCACACATGTCACACCTCAAAGAAAAATGTTGATTTGATTGCTTGTTTATTTAACTAGTGGGAAGGGAAATCAAAAAGGGGTGTTTGTTTGAAAGAAAAACACATGAGGAAAGCTGAAGGAAGAGAGAGAAACAACTTTTCCTGAATGATTAACTTTTGGATGTTTATGAACTGCAATTGCTTAACGCATTGTAAGCCGCCCTGAGTCTCCGGAGAAGGGCGGCATATAAATCAAATTAAAAAAAAAATAAAATCTTATTTTATGCAAAATATTAGATTGATTTTTTTTTCTTACATATTTCCTTATCAGTAGTAGGACGCAGGGCCGATCTGCACTTTTGCTTAACTCAGTATGTTGTTATTTATTGCTGTGAGCCGCCCTGAGTCCTTGTGGAGAAGGGCGGCATATAAATCTAATAATAAATAAATAAATAAATAAATAAATAAATAAATAAATAAATAAATAAATAAATAAATTCACTGTTGTCTGAGCACGGAATGGCTGACAGCCTCCTTCTACATTGCAGATGTACTCTTGTTTTTCCATCTTTGATCCAAAAATGGCTGCTTTCCAACAGCAACTGTTTTAAGCCTGCCATAATTAGTGGTCTCCAGAGCTCTTCTCAGTTGAAGCTCCAGCTGATTGCAGTGCCTTCCCCTCCCCTTCCCCTCAATGAACTGGTCACTATCTTGTACAACTTTAGAATAACAGAGTTGGAAGGGACCTTGGAGGTCTTCTAGTCCAACCCCCTGCTTAGGTAGGAAACCCTACACCACTTCAGACAAATGGTTATGCAACCTCTTCTTAAAAACGTCCAGTGTTGGAGCATTCATAACTTCTGGAGGCAAGTTGTTCCACTGATTAATTGTTCTAACTGACAGGAAATTTCTCCTTAGTTCTAGGTTGCTTCTCTCCTTGATTAGTTTCCACCCATTGCTTCTTGTCCTGCCTTCAAGTGCTTTGGAGTCTGTCAGATATTAAACTGCTGTGACGTCCTTCACTATTCAACAGCCACCATTTTTTTTAGTTGATCAACATTGGCTTAATGCCATTGACTATATCAGCACTTTGTGCCCTCCCTTTTTATTTTGTTTTGTCATCTTTAAAATGTTCATTCTATCTATTCTTCCAAATTTTCAGTGGACCTAAAGAGGAGTTTAAACAAAAAAAGATTTATCAGTGTTCTCATTGCTTTGATTGGTGCAACAACACAGCAATGATGGTACCCCAAGGGAAAGAAAAACATTGTCTCTCTGTATGAGATAAGGATGGGTAGGATAGATGCAGAAAGTCTGTAGAGATTCTCAGTCATCCAGGTTATGGTTGTCCCAAAGGTGCTTTTTCAGGAGGCATCCTTTTAGAGGGAAAAAATTGCAGATTACAGGAACCAGGAGCACTTCTCAGGTGACCCTGAGGACACAGATAAACCTTCAAGTGCTTCAACGACCCTCTAAAACAATGCAAATGTCCAACTGTCTGCAAAGAGTATAAATCCTTCCATTCCCCACTATCCTGTCAGAACTGAAGAAGCTTCTTGAATGAGAAGCGAAACGTCTTCAAAGGAAAAAAAAACTAAGAAAGTCCAGTTGCCTCCTGAAAAAACACCTTTGGGACGATGGAGGCAGAAATTCATGTGTACAAGTATTTGAAAAGCAAAGAGAAAGCAATTAGTGAGAAGGGAACAATCCCGAAAAGGAAAAGACAAGATACTTTATACCTTTGCTATGAGATGGGCAGTACCAAAATTTGACAAATAAATAATAAAGTTCAAGAGCAAAACCAAGAATATAAATACAAGTAGTCCTCAACTTACAACAGTTCATTTAGTGACCGCTCAAAGTTACAACAGCATTTAAGAAATGTAACTTATGACCATTTTTCACACTTACGACCATTGCAACATGCCCATGATCACATGTTGAAAATTCAGATGCTTGGCAACTAGTTGATATTTATGATGGTTTGCAGCATCCCGGGGTCACGTGACCAGTTTTTGCGACCTTCTGACAAGCAAAGTCAATGGGGAAGCCAGATTCTCTTCTCAGCCGTGTTACTAACTTAACAACTGCAGTGATTCACTTAACAACCATGGCAAGAAAGGTCATAAAATGGGGAAAAATTCACTTAACCAATGTCTCATTTAGCAACATAAATTTTGGGGTCAGTTGTGGTTGTAAGTCGATGACTACCTGTAATGAAATTAAATAAATCTAAAAGACAGGTTTATTATAAAGGACTGTCCTTTATAATAAAGGATGTAAGGTCACTTTAAGTATGGGCTGTATTGCCAGGGATTAATGTGTATCAAAGGAAGGAAAAACGTGTGTGTGTAAGAGTGCACTCTTACCACTCTGAGGGGATTTCCAGTATATTTGTGGAACATTTTTTATTTTGTTTCTCAGCTTCTTCTCCATGGTATCAAAACAAAAGATCTGGCAAAGTTCCCAGTGAAAAATTCCCAGTTTACTGTTCATGGCCTAAAAGTGAAAGTTGGTGTTCTTTCCAACTTTTGGATGGATTTTGCAACCTTGGAGTTGCAACAGATGCAACCTTTAGTATCTCTCCCTTGGGTCTTTTTACTTCAAAGCTGGATGCAGTTGGGGGAAGCATTTTTGGAACCAAATGTTGCTGTGATGGACCAAGTCCTCTGACATCTGATGGACAATATCCATTACTGAATCTTTTTATATTCCCAAATTAGTCAAAAAAAAGTAGAGCAACTCTTCTATTGTCAGCTATCAAATATTTGTGTGTGTGTGTGTGTGTGTGTGTGTGTGTGTGTGTGTGTGTGTGTGTGTACAGTTAATATCTCGGGTTTCTTCCTGTGTAATTGTAAACATATCCTTAAAAAGGTAGTAGCGATGTTTCAACGAAATCGCATTCGTCATCTTCTGGCTGATGTTCTCAGTTTGGTGCTCATGGACAAACTGTGTGATCGTAATTGACGTTTTTCTATGAAAAGAGGCAAAGGTGTATTCTGATTGTTCGACAGTGTTGTTGTATTCTGATTGGCTGATGACGTAGCTGTATTTTGATTGGGTGGAAGCGCTGTTGCTTGGTTGTGGGTCAATGGATAAATTATGCTGGAACTGGTGGCAACACAGGCATTTTGATGAACCTTTGATCTATGGTTTATATTTTGTGTTAAGATTTGTCTGTCTATGAGAGCAGGTTTCCAAATAGTAAGTAATTTAAGATGAATTTTGTTAAATTTCGTCGAAACGTCGCTACTACCCTTTTAAGGATATGTTTACAATTACACGGGAAGAAACCTGAGATATTAACTGTACACACATATAGACCCGTGAAAACTTACATATACATATACATATATATATATATATATATATGAGCTGGAGCTACAAAAAAACCTTGGCTACGTAGGGAAAACCTGGCTAGAAGAAAAACACACATAAACCCTACGAAGAAGTAAGAAAATTGATACTATGCCTTTACAGGGAGGATATGGGTGTGGCCTACTGATGACAGCTAACAAGCTAGAAATGGATCTATTTAGGTCTCCCACCTAGCAGTGAGAGCTTGCTAGGTGTTAGTAAAGAAAAAAGCCCAGAACCGAGTAGATGAGATTCTACTGAGCTGGAGCTACAAAAAAACCTTGGCTACGTAGGGAAAACCTGGCTAGAAGAAAAACACACATATATATATATATTATACTTCCTGCCCACAGTACTGCAAAGTTTCTCTTCCCCCTTTTTTTTTTTTTAGCATCATTAAAGCCTCAGTTCTATAGGCTTCACTTATCAGGTCTTCCTTGTTGGAAAGGTTCAATGAACCCCTAAGAGGAAGTTGAAATGAAAGACAAGCTGGCCAGAGCTCTGGCTGCCTTGACTGGTTGTGTGAGAAGGAAAATCCATCTGGTTCAGGTCCCAGCTGTGAGAAAGATGCTGGAAACAAAATGGAGGCTGGAGGCTGTTTGGAAAGAAAATTTAATGATGAACAGAACCAACAGCAGTTCTGGGTCAGCTGAACAAATGATTGAATGAGTGGATTTTGAAATATCCTGTCTTGAATGGGCTTCTGCTGGCAGTATTTGTGTTGCTTATCAATAGAGCCATCTAGGTAGTTGTCTTCCTCTTTCAATAAGCTCTTTATCTCTTAAGTGCTGGCAAGGAACAATCCTGAAAAGGAAAAGTATGAATTTTTCAAGCAGTCCACACAGGGAAGGAGCAAGGACCCCTCAAAGAGTATGGATCCATACATTAAGATATGAAAGTTCATGGTCATATTTCTAGATAATGGATGTGAACTGAATTATTACTGATCTGGTCTTGAAGGTATGTATGCTTTGTGGCATTGTGGTTAAGGTATTGATCTAAGACCCTGGAATCAAGTCACCTATAGCCAGGGAAATTTATTGAATGACTTTGGACCTGTTGTGGCCCACCAGCGGCCTGCGTGGATCCTGACGACGAGGTGGCTGGTGTAGTGTTGCGCCAGCAGCCTTGCAGCCGGCGCTCGAGTCGGACAGTGAGGAGGCTGAAGAAGATGTGGTGCCAGAGGCAGAGATTCAGCCAGGGCCTTCAGATCCTCCAAAGGCTCCTTCAAGTGAAGAGAGTGAAGTGGAGGAGCCTCTTCTCAATGCACGAGCACCCAGGGCTGCCAAAAGGCAGGAGTGGTTACTCAGGAGGAGGTCTCCTTGAGAGTAAGGCTTGGGGCTAATTGGCCACTCCCTTAGCCTATTTAAGTTTGCACGCAGCTAGCAAACGTTGCAGGAAACAATGTGTGTTCGTCCAGTCGTTGTTGAGCATTTGAGAGTGAATTTTCCTTTCAAACCTGGTTTCTGGGCTAATTGCCAACTATTGTAAGCCTTTATGTAATCTTTGAATTTCTGGCAGGCTGTTAAGGACATTTTTAGTAATAGCCTGCAATCGAAAAAGACTATGTTTGTAGTAAATCGAGTTGTTCAGAGTTTTGTGTGTGCTACATTTCTTGGGTTCCGTAGCTGGGGCAGAACAGGACCAGATCATCTTCTCTTAGCACACAGATGTCAAACTCACGGCATCACGTTGCTGTCACATGAGGTATCGCGATGTCTATTCCCTTTGGTGACCTGGGGTGGGCGTGGCCTGCACGTGACACATCCGGCCCACTGGCTGCCAGTTTGGCAACCCCTGTCTTAGCATAACCTTAGCATAGTCATGGAGGCAGGAACAGGCTTATTATCCATTAAGGTTAATGTAATGAAGCGGGCTCTGATGGATGACCACTGGATAACTTTCTATTCACTCTATTCTAAAAAGCAATGCATCCGGTTGGAAAAAGTACAAACTCAGCCAAAATCCTTTTGGTTCCTCTAGGAGGCCTCTAAGTTGTCAGAAGAAAGGAACATTCTAATGACATACAGCTTAAAGGTTGGTTAGGTCAAGGGGATCCACATGAGTTAAAAGTTGTCCATCGTCAAAAGATAAAAGAGATGCTTCAGTAATCTACAAAAAGAATTATGATTGTTTTGCAAAGAAACTCTGTAATGTCAATTAAAATTGATAAATGTATAGGACCATATGAATTGCTGACTTCAAAGAATCCTTTGTCTAGAAGGGTATAAAACCAGTGTACCTAATTCCTGTCTTTGTTCAACGCTTCATGTACAGAGCCTTGAACCTATTGCGCAATATATATAAAATCTGTCTCTGATTAATCTAAAAGTTGTGTTTGTCTTATTAAATCCACAACAAGGTAGCAAGTAGCATGGGTACAGTGACCATATCGTCTTGGAAAAAATAAACCTGACAAAGGAGTAAACGTAAAAAAGCGTCCATAAGGGTTAACAGAAACATTGATGGTTTGTGTTTTTAGCTTTGCTTTAACAAAAGAAAATTCAAGAGCAAAATCAAGACTATAAATATTGAAATTAAATGAATTTAAAGGACAGCTTTCTGAAATAAACGGCTGACTTTTATAATAAAGAATGTAGAGACACTGTAAGCATGGGCTGTGTTGCCAGAGATGATTAATGTGGTAGCAAAGGAAGGAAAAATGAGGGTGTGTTAGAGTGTACTCTTAACCTACTCCGAGGGAGTTTCCTGTGTGTTTGTAAAACAGTTCATTTTGTTTCTCAGCTTCTTCCCTGTGGAAATAAAAACAAAAGGTTTGGCAAAGGTCCCGCTGAAAAATTCCAACTTCCTTTTTATGGCCTTAAAACGAAAGTTGGCCTAACCTTGGAGTTTTATCAGATGCAACGCTGAGTATCTCAGTTTTAGGATTTTCTTTTCCGAAGCTGAATGCAGCTGGAGTGGGGGGTGGGGAAACATTTTTGGAACCAAATGTTGCTGTTATGAACTACACACCCCTACATCTGATGGGCAGTACCCATCGCTGAAACTTTTCATATTTCCAAATTAGTCAAACAAGTGAGAGCACAGGGGTGAAATTCAGCAGGTTCTGACAGATTCTGGAGAACCGGTAGTGGAAATTTTGAGTAGTTCAGAGAACCGGCAAATACCACCTCTGGCTGGTCCCAGAGTGGGGTGGGAATGGAGATTTTGCAATATCCTTCCCCCAGGAGTGAAGAGGGAATGGGGATTTTGCAGTATCCTTCTCTGGAGTAGGGTGGGAATGGAGATTTTGCAATATCCTTCCCCCAGGAGTGGGGAGGGAATGGGGATTTTGCAGTATCCTTCTCTGGAGTCGGGTGGGAATGGAGATTTTGCAGTATCATTCCCCTGCCATGCCCACCAAGCCACACCATGCCCACCAAGCCACGCCCACAGAACCAGTAGTAAAAAAAATTGGATTTCACCACTGAGAGAGCAGCTTTCCTATTGCCAGCTATCAAATATTTTCAAGAGAAGATTTCCTCCTTCTGTGAATCTATAAAAACATTTTATTAAGAAAATGAAGCAGTAGAACACAGAATGCAGCAGAGAAGACGGATTCAGGAAATACCATGAGTTAAGAATGAAGAGCGATGGCAAATACCATTCAATATCACAGTAACAAAATAACAGCAAAAGACTCACCTCATAAAACAAAACTGATACAGATAATAAAACCCAAGACAATAAAATTGCCTTCACGAGACAGTGGAAAAAAGCAGGGATCTAAAATGTTTTTAAAAGGGATGCTTGATTATATGGTTGCTATTGCCTTCTTGATATTTTTTTTCAAAGCATCAATGTGGACACCCTTGAGGTACTATTTTTTAATAATATTTTTTAATTAAAAATTATGTCGTTTAACCCTTTCCAAGTCATATCCAAAGGTGGGAAGAGAGGGTCCCTGTCGGTGTACTCATACCTCACCAAGGGTCTGACTCAGAAATTATAGAAAACTTTATAAACATAAAGCCACATTATGACATAATATCTATCATCCAACACTAACCCAGGGCCAACCATAATGTTCTGAAGCAATAATAATGATTTTACTTATTTAGCGTATGGCAAAAACGTTAAAAAAGCACATCGCAAGTATTTATTTATTATTTATTTATTTATTTATTAGATTTCTATACCGCCCTACTCCCGAAGGACTCAGGGCGGTGCACAGCCAAACAATAAAAACACATACAATACAAAATTTAAAAAATAGAATAAAATCAAATTAAATAATTTTGGCCCCGACAAATTTAAAACCCCAAACTTTTAAAACCAATTTAAAATTGAATATATAAATACTAAAAAATATTTAAAATTTTAAAAATCTTTTATAAAAGAGGGGGAAAATTAGGCCAGGCCGGCCTGGTGAAATAGTAAGGTCTTTAAGGCGCGGCGGAAGGTGCGCAGATCCGGGATCCTCCGTATCTCTGGGGGGAGCTCGTTCCAGATAGTAGGTGCCCCCACAGAGAAGGCTCTCCCCCTGGGGGCCGCCAGTCGGCATTGTTTGGCTGACGGCACCCGGAGGAGCCCCTCTCTATGGGAGCGTACCGGCCGGTGGGAGGCTATTGGTGGTAGTAGGCGGTCCCGCAAGTACCCGGGTCCTAAGCCATGGAGCGCTTTAAAGGTGGTAACCAAAACCTTGAAGCGCACCCGGAAGACCACCGGGAGCCAGTGCAGCTCGCGCAGGAGAGGTGTTACATGGGAACGCCATGTCGCTCCCATTACCACCCGCGCGGCCGCACTCTGCGCCAGTTGGAGCCTCCGGGTGCTCCTCAAGGGGAGCCCCATGTAGAGAGCGTTGCAATAGTCCAGGCGGGAGGTGACAAGGGCATGAGTGACCGTGCGTAAAGTACATTCTCAACGAGCAAATATGAAACTATTTACTCTATTTACAGATTCAAAGGTAGACTATTCATACAGTCAATACGTGATGCATACAGAAAGTCTCTGAGGTTTCCCTCATATGAGCTGAGAGGCCATTGTTCCACAATATGTCACACTGTCTGCTTTGGAGCTGCCTTCTGAAGAGGACAGTCGCTTTCCCCACTTATGCAGGAGACTAGCACAACTGCCAACCTGGGCCCTAATCCTATTTGAGGATTGATCAGGTTTTACAGAGTAGATTGAATCCTTTTGGTTCAGCTCAGTGGTAGAGTTCAATTTTTTTTACTTCAGTGGGCATGGTTTGGTGAACGTGGCATGGCTTGGTGGGCATGGCAGGGGAAGAATATTGCAAAATCTCCATCCCCACCCCATTCCAGGGAAGGATACTGCAAAATCTCCATTCTCACCCCACTCCAGGGGAAGGATACTGCAAAATCCCCATTCCCACCCCACTCCAGGAGGATACTGCAAAATCCCCATTCCCACCCCACACCAGGGGAAGGATACTGCAAAATCTCCATTCCCACCCCACTCCAGGGGAAGGATACTGCAAAATCTCCATTCCCACCTCACTCTTGGGGGAAGGATACTGAAAAATCCCCATTCCCACCCCACTCTGGGGCCATCCAGAGGTGGTATTTGCTGGTTCTCCGAACTACTCAAAATTTTCCCACTTATTCTCCAGAACCTGTCAGAACTTGGTGGATTTCACCCCTGATTCAGCTGTAAATCAGGGGATGCTGTAAACAATAGGCTTGCTCCAGACATTCACCTATTGGGACAGCCAGAAACTTGCCGGAGAACAACTTCTATCTGCTTCAGGCCTGGACACAAGAATAAGAATGTGTCCATTCTTATTATGTGTTATTATTAAATGCTAGGTTTCTCTTTTAAAAAAATGAGTGAGGTAAGGCTGGGTGTATAGGGTAGATAAGGAAGGGTATAAACACAGAGAGAGAAATTGGCCTGGATGTACGGTATGTTATGCAGGCAAGATAAGAAGTAGCTATGGTGATTTGAGGACATGCCAGGAAAAGGAAAAGAAACACACCAAGATAAACTGCCTCTTCTGAAAAGGCAGGATTAGAAATTTGGGAGGAATATTGAAGCATCTAGAAATTTGCAGAAGTGTGCAAAAGTTATGCTATGTGTCTGTAAACAAACCTCTGAAAAAAGTAAAACGTGAGGAGAATCTCACTGTATTGAACCTGTGAGCTAGAACCGATGAGAAAGCAAACTTATAAATAGGCAAGAAGGCCTCATAAAGAGTATAAAAATGTTGGGACGTGTTTTCAGGAAGAAACCATCAGTAATCCCAAAGAAAGATCAACAACCATTGAGGAGGTGGGGGGGGGGGAAGAATTCGAGAAATAAACTGCTGGGTTGGTGTCACCAAGGAAACTTTGGTTTCCTGCAGTGGTGAAATCCAATTTTTTTTACTACTGGTTCTGTGGGCATGGCTTGGTGGGCGTGGTGTAGCTTGGTGGGTGTGGCAGGGGAAGGATACTGCAAAATCTCCATTCCCACCCCACTCCAGGGGAAGGATATTGCAAAATCTCCATTCCAGGGGTGGGTTCTAAATTTTTGTACTACTGGTTCTGTGGGCGTGGCTTATTTTGCGGGCGTGGCTTGATGGTCATGTGACAATTCTTTAGGATTTAGCAGAGGTACTGGTCTACCAGGCTTTTAGCTGCTTGCAGAGCTGTACCAGTCTGCTCATTTATTTTTGGAGGCACCGGTCTACTCATTTGTTTTTAGAGGCACTGGTCTACCACCACACTGCCTTTTAATACTGATCAGATGTAGGGCGGCCCTTTGAAGCTCCACGGCAAGAGTTTTAAACAGTTTTTTTCCTTCTAGCCGATCAGCTGGGACTCAGGAGGCAGCAATAGATTGGGGGTGGGGCCAAATAAAAGGTAAGAATAATGCGGGAGGGGGTGCGGGGGGGGGGGCAAAACCGGTTCGGTGACATCATATCGTCACCGCTACTGGCTCAGCAGAACCGGGAGGAACCCACCACTGCTCCATTCCCACCCCACTCTGGGTCCAGCCAGAGGTGGCATTTGCCAGTTCTCTGAACTGGTCAAAATTTCCTCTACCGGTTCTCCAGAACCTGTCAGAACCTGCTGGATTTCACCCGTGGTTTCCTGGACCATGGGCTGCATGACCTACATGAAGGATTCTTGGCAAGGGATGGGCTGCACCTCACAAAAATAGAGGGGGAAATATACTCGGAAAATGACTGGCCCAACTCCTCAGAAGAGATTTAAACTAAAATTGAGGGAGGTGGGTGACCAGTCTTTAGAGTCTCTAGAACACAAAACCAATCATAAACCCCAAGAAAAGAAATCAAACAATGAGGTAGGGAGTGATGAGGGGGGAGGGAAATCTTAAAACACCAAGTAGGAGAGGCAGGAAACATACCCATAGACAGGCAGAAAAGTCTCAAAGGCTTATCTACAAATGCTCAATGTTTGGGGAACAAACAGGGTGAACTAGAAGCAGTAATACAGGAGGGTAGGTATGACATAGTTGCCATTACAGAAACCTGGTGGGGCGAAACCCATGACTGGAATGTACTGATGGATGGATATAAATTGTTAAAAAAAAACAGATCTACAAAAAGAGGAGGTGGGGTTGCACTATATAGTAACATTAACAGAGTTGGAAGGGACCTTGGAGGTCAACTAGTCCAACCCCCTGCTCTCACGCAGATTTATACTAGGGATTCGAACTGCCAAACTTTCTGATCGACATGCTCAGCATCTTAGCCACTGAGCCACCTAGCCACCTTTCAATATGTAAGAGATCACTACATATCTACAGAAATGCACATGATCAAAGATAAAAACCCGCTAGAATACAGATAGGTCAATATAAAAGAGTGACATTGCCATAGGTGTATACCCAACCAATCAGAAGAAATGGGTGAATTTTTTGCCAACCAGTTAACAAATCTATGTAGGAAATGTAGGAAGAAATATCCTTCTGGGTTCAGCTCCAAGTGGAGAAAAAGACACTGGAAGCATGGAGACTGCTTGGAAAGATGGTTTAATGGTGGACAGGATCACATGGCTTGAGTTCCTGAACAGAAAAGGGCAGATACAGCGAGTCTCCGGGTTTTTATGCTCTCTTTGGCTTTGAACTTCCTGGGGCCCTGAAAGAGTATCCTGATTGGTTATCAGACTCCCAGGGGGTGGGAGTCTTAGCTAGCCTTGCTGGCTGATGTAATCTTCCCAGGTGCCATGTGGTGAGTTTCTGTCCCTATTGTGTTGCAGATGGATCCTATTGTGTTGTGATGCTGCCTGGTGAGAGACTTATATAGATCTATTTCTGGCTCGTTAGCCATCATCAGTAAGCCACACCCACATCTCATGTATCCTCCGTGTAAAGGTACACTATCTATTTTCTTACTCTTCGTACGTTTTATCTGTGTTTTTCTTTTAGCCAGGTTTTTCCTACGTAACCAAGATTTTTCTGCTGGCTGCTAGGGCTGTAGCTGGCAAACGTTGCAGGAAACAACGTGTGTTCGTCCGGTCGTCGTTGAGCATTTGAGAGTGAATTTTCCTTTCAAACCTGGTTTCTGGGCTAATTACCAACTATTGTAAGCCTTTATGTAATCTTTGGAATTTCTGGCAGGCTGTTAAGGACATTTTTGGTAATAGCCTGCAATCGAAAAAGACTATGTTTGTAGTAAACCGAGTTGTTCGGAGTTTTGTGTGTGCTACATTTCTTGGGTTCCGTGGCTGGGGCAGAACAGGACCAGATCATCTTCTCTTAGCACACAGGTGTCAACCTCACGGCATCACGTTGCTGTCACATGAGGTATTGCGATATCTTTTCCCTTCGTGGGCTGGGGTGGGCGTGGCCTACACGTGACATATCCGGCCCGCTGGCTGCCAGTTTGGCAACACCTGTCCTGTCCAGGATTGAAAAAAGTGAAACAAGAATCCATTGTATACCATCCTGAGTTCCTGGGGGAAAAAAAGATGGCATGCAAAACAAGTGAAATGAACATAACTGGAGCAAATAAATGAATTTGTACAGATGTTGACTAAAATCATGAAAATATTGGTAGGAAAATAGCAGGCATAACAATGAACATTTATTATAGTCATAAACGGTGGGATTCAAATAATTTAACAACCAGTTCTCTGCCCTAATGACCGGCTGGGTGGGCGTGGCCAGGGGGTGTGACAGGCAGCACTCGGGCTCCTTCACCCCCCTGGGAGCAAAAAAGGGCTGTGGGGTGTGTGCACCCCATTTTGGGCCTAGTAGGGCTCCCTGCACTCTCCTGGGAGTCAAAACGGGGCGCGTGGGGACTCCTGGAAGGGGCCAGGTGGGGAGGGGCAGAGCAGGGCCAGCCAGCAATTTTGCCTGAACTGGCCCGAATCGGCTGAATCCCACCACTGGGTCATAAACCAACCTAACAACATGTCCAGAAAAGAAATATTTATATGTGCAATGCCAAATGTAAACAAGAACAGAAAGAATTCAAATTCACCAACAAACGATACATAGATTAAATATTTTTGAGTTGGAACAGTGAGGAGTCTCAATTCTTAGTCTCTATATGGAGATAACAGTACCACACAGGAGCTAACAGCAGTGTCAGGGAGAGGCAGGGGGCCCAAACAATTAGTCTGACAAAAACAACATCCTGTTATCATGGTGCAAAAGCCCCATCCCTTTTGTACTGTATATGTGTCATGACCGCACACACACATATCCTGAAGAGGTAGAACTTTAATGTGGCAACACAAACTCTGCTTTTGTCAATTTGACTAAAGCAACTGCAGCTGTTGACATTCACACAATTTAGCTGCCCTGCATGATTGCCAAATCATGGTTGTCCACCAAGGAGAACCATTTGCTCCTCATCTCAGTCATGGCGGTGCATTGGTTAGAGTGCAGTACTGCAGGCTGCTTCTGCTGCCTGCCGGCTGCCTGCAATTTGGCAGTTCGGATCGCACCAGGCTCAAGGTTGACTCAGCCTTCCGTCCTTCCGAGATGGGTAAAATGAGGACCCAGATTGTTTGGGGGCAAATATGCTGACTCTGTAAACCGCTTAGAGAGGGCTGTAAAGCACCGTGAAGTGGTATATTCATCTAAGTGCAATTGCTACTGCTATCTGACCTGCCAGAACAAATTAAGAGCACTATTAAGTCTGAGCATCATCTGGGGAGCATATGCAGTACAATGAAATCTAAGTAAGTGACTTGAGGGTTGAAATAATCTCAGCCTGTTGTTAGAATTTATAAAGGTATGAAGCAGAAGTGGTATACAGCTGGTTTAGACCGGTTTGCCCAAACCGGTAGCAGAGATGGCGGGTGCCCCCCCCCCGCTCCCCCACCCCAGCGCTATGCCATCCTATTTAGCCACGTTTTTGAGGCCGGGCGCATGTGCTGAAGGTGTGTGTGCGAGCAAAACGCATGCGCAGAAAGTGCGTGGAAGGTGCACATGTGTGCGAAGCAAGTGTGTGTGCGCGGGCCGAACCGGTGGTAACAATATCTGAAATCTACAGCTGGTATGAAGCCCACTTTCAGGATAAGGTTAGTCATGGAGGCAGGAACAGGCTTATTATCCATTAAGGTAGCAAGTAGCATGGGTACAGTGACCATATCGTCTTGGAAAAAATAAACCTGACAAAGGAGTAAACGTAAAAAAGCGTCCATAAGGGTTAACAGAAACATTGATGGTTTGTGTTTTTAGCTTTGCTTTAACAAAAGAAAATTCAAGAGCAAAATCAAGACTATAAATATTGAAATTAAATGAATTTAAAAGACAGCTTTCTGAAATAAACGGCTGACTTTTATAATAAAGAATGTAGAGACACTGTAAGCATGGGCTGTGTTGCCAGAGATGATTAATGTTGTAGCAAAGGAAGGAAAAATGAGGGTGTGTTAGAGTGTACTCTTAACCTACTCCGAGGGAGTTTCCTGTGTGTTTGTAAAACAGTTCATTTTTTTTCTCAGCTTCTTCCCCGTGGAAATAAAAACAAAAGGTTTGGCAAAGGTCCCGCTGAAAAATTCCAACTTCCTTTTTATGGCCTTAAAACGAAAGTTGGCCTAACCTTGGAGTTTTATCAGATGCAACGCTGAGTATCTCAGTTTTAGGATTTTCTTTTCCGAAGCTGAATGCAGCTGGAGTGGGGGGTGGGGAAACATTTTTGGAACCAAATGTTGCTGTTATGAACTACACACCCCTACATCTGATGGGCAGTACCCATCGCTGAAACTTTTCATATTCCCAAATTAGTCAAACAAGTGAGAGCACAGGGGTGAAATTCAGCAGGTTCTGACAGATTCTGGAGAACCGGTAGTGGAAATTTTGAGTAGTTCAGAGAACCGGCAAATACCACCTCTGGCTGGTCCCAGAGTGGGGTGGGAATGGAGATTTTGCAATATCCTTCCCCCAGGAGTGGGGAGGGAATGGGGATTTTGCAGTATCCTTCTCTGGAGTAGGGTGGGAATGGAGATTTTGCAATATCCTTCCCCCAGGAGTGGGGAGGGAATGGGGATTTTGCAATATCCTTCCCTGGAGTGGGGTGGGAATGGAGATTTTGCAATATCCTTCCCCCAGGAGTGGGGAGGGAATGGGGATTTTGCAGTATCCTTCTCTGGAGTAGGGTGGGAATGGAGATTTTGCAATATCCTTCCCCCAGGAGTGGGGAGGGAATGGGGATTTTGCAATATCCTTCCCTGGAGTGGGGTAGGAATGGAGATTTTGCAGTATCATTCCCCTGCCATGCCCACCAAGCCACACCATGCCCACCAAGCCACGCCCACAGAATCAGTAGTAAAAAAAATTGAATTTCACCACTGAGAGAGCAGCTTTCCTATTGCCAGCTATCAAATATTTTCAAGAGAAGATTTCCTCCTTCTGTGAATCTATAAAAACATTTTATTAAGAAAATGAAGCAGTAGAACACAGAATGCAGCAGAGAAGACGGATTCAGGAAATACTATGAGTGAAGAATGAAGAGCGATGGCAAATACCATTCAATATCACAGTAACAAAATAACAGCAAAAGACTCACCTCATAAAACAAAACTGATACAGATAATAAAACCCAAGACAATAAAATTGCCTTCACGAGGCAGTGGAAAAAAGCAGGGATCTAAAATGTTTTTAAAAGGGATGCTTGATTATATGGTTGCTATTGCCTTCTTGATATTTTTTTTCAAAGCATCAATGTGGACACCCTTGAGGTACTATTTTTTAATAATATTTTTTAATTAAAAATTATGTCGTTTAACCCTTTCCAAGTCATATCCAAAGGTGGGAAGAGAGGGTGCCTGTCGGTGTACTCATACCTCACCAAGGGTCTGATTCAGAAATTATAGAAAACTTTATAAACATAAAGCCACATTATGACATAATATCTATCATCCAACACTAACCCAGGGCCAATGTTCTGAAGCAATAATAATGTTCTGAAGCAATAATAATGATTTTACTTATTTAGCGTATGGCAAAAACGTTAAAAAGCACATCGCAAGTACATTCTCAATGAGAAAATATGAAACTATTTACTCTATTTACAGATTCAAAGGTAGACTATTCATACAGTCAATACGTAATGCTACAGAAAGTCTCTGAGGTTTCCCTCATATGAGCTCAGAGGCCATTGTTCCACAATATGTCACACTGTCTGCTTTGGAGCTGCCTTCTGAAGAGGACAGTCGCTTTCCCCACTTATGCAGGAGACTAGCACACCTGCCAACCTGGGGCCTAATCCTATTTGAGGATTGACCAGGTTTTACAGAGTAGATTGAATCCTTTTGGTTCAGCTCAGTGGTAGAGTTCAATTTTTTTTACTTCAGTGGGCATGGTTTGGTGAACGTGGCATGGCTTGGTGGGCATGGCAGGGGAAGAATATTGCAAAATCTCCATCCCCACCCCATTCCACGGAAGGATACTGCAAAATCTCCATTCCCACCCCACTCCAGGGGAAGGATACTGCAAAATCTCCATTCCCACCCCACTCCAGGGGAAGGATACTGCAAAATCTCCATTGCCACCCCACTCCAGGAGAAGGATACTGCAAAATCCCCATTTCCACCCCACTCCGAGGCCATCTAGAGGTGGTATTTGCTGGTTCTCCAAACTACTCAAAATTTCTGCTATTGGTTCTCCAGAATCTGTCAGAACCTGCTGAATTTCACCCCTGATTCAGCTGTAAATCAGGGGATGCTGTAAACAATAGGCTTGCTCCAGACATCCACCTATTGGGACAGCCAGAAACTTGCCGGAGAACAACTTCTATCTGCTTCAGGCCTGGACACAAGAATAAGAATGTGTCCATTCTTATTATGTGTTATTATTAAATGATAGGTTTCTCTTTAAAAAAAATGAGTGAGGTAAGGCTGGGTGTATAGGGTAGATAAGGA